TATCAAGCGAAGAGAAGAATATTTAGAAATTTTTGAAGAGTTCAAAAAAATAATTGGTACAAGTCAGTATAGTCCTAGTTATAGTTAAAATTGGAATTATTCCAAAAGTACAGAAGCAGTTTATGGGCACAAATGAGATTCAATAATTGTTCGTCTTTCTGACTGGTCAGAAAGTATTTATTTACTGGCTCGTTCTATGACTCGGTATAATAACGCCAATCAGGCCGAATGAATGTGGTTAATTACTATGTTACGCAGGGTCTTGTGACTATTTAACAGGATTGTTGACAACAGAGTATTGTACGCGATAAACTGCACAGCTTCGTTTCCATAGATGTTATCGATTTTCCATATATTTCACGATTAAATTGATTGGCCCCCTTATGAAAACGATAAACTTTAGCATTGTTTTATAAATTGTTCGAATATCAGAAAACATGATTTTTTTCGAAAATATTTCTAATGTCGAGGATTCGTCTATTCCATAGCTGATTAGGTTTAATAAATGACCTAAGATTACTGGAACGTCGATTTTCGTGTGATGTGAGAAATTTGAATAATTTAAAGTCGAAGGTTTTGTGGAATTCTGAGTGCTTAATATGGATTTGAAGGATGTAGTTTATGAATCGATTCGTTTGAGTTATTTAGTAGTTGATACGAGCTGGAGGTCTTCTATGTTTAGAGAAGATACTATATCAAGTATTTAAATATAGTAACTAATGTATAATGCGAGTTCAAGGGATTGTAAATCTTGCGTCGGTCTGCAAGTAATACCACGGAAGTGTTTAAATAGAGATATTTCGACCTTATTTAAATTTAGGATAAATAGCGGCGCCGATATTTAGTATGAATTGAAAATCCAAAAATTTCTACAATTTCTCAGATTTCTCGTGCCTTTCAAAAATTTTACAAGTTTTCAAGGTCTCTCGAAATGGCCTAGTTTCTGAAAATTTCTCAAAATACACCTGAAAGTCTCAAAAAGTTTCTCTAGATATTTAAAATTTCTTAGATTTCTCCTAAGTCTTCCGAAAATTTGACAATTTCTCAAGGTTTCTCTAAATGTCCTAGTTTCTGAAAATTTCCCAAAATC